TCATGAAAAGCACCAAAAAAGGGGAAGGTGATGCTAAAAATGTCACCTGATTTCAGGGGCCTTCTATTAATGGAGGGCTATGCAAATGAAAGTGACTCTTCCCTGTCAGAGCCTCTGTCACCTTGTTCTGTGTTACTGCCCGGCTGCAGCAGTCCTGTGGCAGGTAGCTGGTGGCTGCTGGATCAGGCTGACTTGTTCCTGTACAGGCCAGGGGCTGCTCCTTTTGGGAAAACCCAGTCCAGGGTAGGCTGCTTCAGCACCAGCTAGTTAGCACTGCTCTGCCAGCCCTTGCAGCTGTTTGTCCTCTTCTGGTGGGATATGAAAGTTAAACTTGATGGGATGTCAAGTTGGGGTTGAAAAGGCAAATCTGCTGTGGTGATTCTTTTTTGCTGCTGCTTTGGCACCCTTGGGGCGAGCACAGCTTTGCCTCTTGGTATACAGTTTTCATTAGTGATTTATTTGCCAAAGTATTTCACCAAGTAACCTTTGGACAGGGTGCAGTTCTCAGTTAATTTTTTTTAAGGGTACTGCAGACTGACTGGACTTGTACCCCATAAGCTCCCTCTGTTTGTACAGGTTGGACAGACAGGCTTTATTCAGTCTGAGAGATTAAATCTCTCTGAAGTCTGTAAAGTCCCAACTGTAGTGGGTGGCACAATGCTAAGCAACAAACTTTGCATGGTGACAGGCTGCTTAACCAGACTGTTGGTGTTCCATTTCTTATAAGAGACTTTACACTTCGTTTTGGCTGGCTCCCATTCCTGGTGTTGTGCTGGACCCTGGTAATCCATCCATGGTATGCAGAAGTGGGGGGATCTGTAGTAAAACCCAGAGGAAACAGGTTGACTGACACAGAGGTCTCATTATTCAGCATAAGAGGTGCTTAAGAACAGTATTTTTCTAGAAACTAATTTTTTCTAAACCAAATCTCTAATCTTTGATTGGCTTTCAAATGGAAGAGTAAAGCAGCAGCACTAAAATGCCTGTGGAATAAACAAACAGGCATAAAGTCCTCTTGATGCTCCTGTGAGGACTGGTTTTACAGGCTCCTTCCACTTCCACAGAGGCTGAGTCCGTGATGTGTTGATTTCAGATGGATGGTGACACACCTGCCTTGGGCAAGGAGAAACCTGGAACAAGTCAGGCTTGGAAAAAGCCAGCCAGTCTTCTCTTTTGGTGATATGAGTGCAGGAACTTGACACCTCTGCAGCTCTGAGGCTGGCTCTTCTCTCGTGTGAGAAATCTTATTGGATGCAGGAGCATTTAGAGAGGCATCCAACGGTCTTGTCAGAGCATTATTGTCTTCTGGTGGCAGAAGAAAGGGGCTGTGGTTCCCTAAAAAGGGAGGAAGTCCTCTTTGCATAACTCCCAGAGAAGCCTGAGGCTGCTTCCTGTGTCATACCCAAGTTTCTTTTGGGACAGACTATGGCATATGAGAGAATGTTGCCCTGTCTCCTGAAAGGCCTGGATAAATTTTTGATTTTATGTAAAGCCCTGCAGTAAAACTATCCAAGGAAAGGCACTGAGCTGGAGTACACCACAGCTGTGCATTTAAAAAAAGTATTTTGATTTGCCCTGTTAGTAGAATAGATGTATCAAGAAGACTTTTTTGAAAGTTTAAAAAGTAACATTTAAAATGTTACTCCACTGTTAGCTGCCCTGTTTCTTGTCTGGAGCAAACTTCTGTATTAGAGCTGCTGGAACATAACCTGTGTGCCCCTGACACTTTTATGCAAAGATTGGTTTCTCAGTGTGAACAGCTGATGAAAGTGATTGCAAAGCCTTTGCATAAATCTGATTCCTTTAAATTTGTGTCTGTTTTGTGCCAGTGAAAACTTTGCAGGTGAGATAATGACCTCTTAAGCTTCTGGGTCTGTCTGCTCAGTGATCACAACAGGGATCTGATGATGCTGACACTTGGGCCTTCTCATCTAGCCTGCTTAAAAACAGTGCTGCAAAAGAATGAGCACAGGGGGCAGCTAATTTTTGCTAATATGCTGATTTTTTGAGGCAGGGACTGAAAAATTTAGCAGTAAGTTGTTGTAGTTAGCTACGTGTGGAAGGCTTTTTCCTCGCAGTCAGCAGCTGTCGTGTCTCCTTATCTGTCTGCTGCCAGCTAAACCTTGTGTTGGCTCCATGGAGCTGTGACTCCCCCAGCTGTCAGTGGGCTCTGGAACTCAGGCAGGTTGTGAAACTGGGTGCATCTGCTACAGGCAGAACTCGCAGGTCCTTCATGCACAGCTGCTGATGCCAAGGGAATGCAAAGTGGGAAGTGTGTCAGTCAGCAATGCTTTATATTTTGGGGGCAGGCACTTTGTTTCCTGTGCAATTTAAAAAGTGGGAGTAGGAGAGGAAATATTTGCAGAGCAGAGCTTTTGGCAAATACAGATCTCTGTTTGAGGATCACCGGCCACTTTGAAGCTCTGGTAAAACTCAGGTTGTGATTGTCCCACAAGCTCTTAATGTCACTGCTGGGATTGTTCCTTTTTTCCTTCAACATACTGGCAGAAACAAGTTTTCCTTCTCGCCTCATGTCCTAAATCTTTACTAAAAATATTATTGAATTACCATTGTAAACTGAAATAGATGTCAGAGACCCAGCAAGGTCTGCAGGGGATGAACTCCTTGGGGTGAATTGGTGAACTGCTACCCTTGGTGTAGACTGTAGCCAAGATGCAGAGGGCAGGGACATTGCCTTTTTGACTGCTGCATGTCCTTGTGATGAAGTGGTATTTAGCTGCAGCTCTTTAGGTCAGCTCTAGCAATGTCCTCCTCGTTAATTACCCAAATCCTTCCTGAGTGAAGTGTTCTGGGGTGATACAAAGAGCTCAGCTGACTTTAGCTCTGCTCCTTTCTCTGGTGCGGATGAAAGCTCTGTTACCATAGCTGAGGGGATGATGGGTACTACAATTCCAGTGTGTCTTTCTCCTTGTGAAGCACACTGGAATTCTGTGTCACAGTGAACACTTGGATGCAGCTTTGAACATAAGGCTGATCTGTCTTTCTCAGCAGGAGCTTGTCTGTTCGGAGAGAGAGGTCTGAACAGTCATGCTGCATTTTCCTTGGGAGAGCAGCAAAGGCCTGTTGGGTTTGTCAGCCCACGTGGTGCCAAGTTCACCTGGCTTTAACTTTTGTTGCTCTGACAAATGGAGAACTGGCTTGGTGAGGTGACTGAGATGAAGCACTGTGTGTCAGGGGCTTGGGGAGTCGCTCGGGGGACACTGTTGTGTGACACGCTCACTGCCTGCACGCATCTCTGCACAGACCTGAAGTGACAGCATGCTGCCTGCTCACCCCCTTGGTGGCATGTGAGAGGCAAATGACATCTGTTCCTGAACACCAGGCTGTCCTGCTGGCTGAAGGAAGCAACATGGATCTGCCCAGCCTGTCCTGGCCCAGACTGTCTAGAGCTGACAGCCTAGTTGGAAGCCCTTGGCATTGTGTGAAGTGTGCAGCTGAAGGAGAAGAGGGTTTGAGACAATTCCTAACTCCTCTGAGATGCAAAGAGCAGCTTTTCCTGCCTTCTCTTGCTCTCCTACAAACTTAGCTGTGGCTTGGCTTTCCTGCTTTGTGGACAGTCCAAGCCACCAACGCTTTCTTTCTCCTTGTCTTTGGCACCAGGCTGATAGTGGTGGCTTCTGTGATGGCTGAATGTAGCATCACATTACATCCTCTTGTGCCCCTTCTGGAGCTTTCTTTAGAGCCCTGTTTATTGGGGTTTTTCTTTTTTTTTTTTTTTTTTTTTCTTTTTTTTTTTGTTTTTTTTTGGGTTTTTTTGGTTTTTTTTGTTTGTTTTTTTGTTTTTTTGGTTTTTTTTTTTTGTTTTTGGTTTTTTTTTGTTTTTGTTTTTGTGTTTTTTTTTTTTTTTTTTTTCCCCAGCCAAGACACTCCTGTTGCCAAAGATAAGATTCAGCACAGCTGCCTCTCCAGCACTGGATGCTGAATTTGAGCTGCTGCTGAGCCACCTGTTCATCACAAGTGGTGTTTCTGAAGCAGAACTTGGGACTTGCCCAGCTTTGGGGTTACTTGGAGCAGATACTCAGCTGTACTACTAATACAATCTGTTTTTAAGATCCCCAGACCTTGGCTTGGAGCCAGGCCATTCACTGGCCTTTATTGACTGGAATGCTTGTTAAAAGGGCTGAAAGTGGGAGGGTTACTGCTAATAGAAGTTACAATATTGCTGCAGAAAGGCAACAACTTCCAGAAAAAAGGAGTATTTGTGTTTAAAAAAAAAGTGTTTGTGGCTTAAATCAGGGCCCTGCCCATTTAGAAGTGCTGGTCTGTGTATGACTGATCATAGGCTCAGACTTTATGGCTGTTTTAAGGGACCAGCTACCCAAATCCTTCCTAACAGGGACCTTAGTCCACTGTAAGCAATAATTAGCCCATGGATGAAGAGTGAAGACTTGAAGGAATGGTAGATGCCCACCTAGAGAAGACCATCATTGTACTGAACCTGAATATAAGCTATGGTCTGCCAGAGAGTAAATGTTGTATATTAACCTGAATGGAACTATGCTGTTTAACCTCAGAATTATTATTTGGCAATATGATTAGATTTATCAGCCTTGGCATTTGCAGTGATGCCCTTTCACAGTGTAGCTTAGCTTTTGATTAAAGTGGAAGCACTCGTTGGACTGTTTAATTTCTGGGATGTCTGAGTTTCAAAACATCCTTATCCATACCTCTGTCTTTAAAAAAAAAAAAAAAAAAACAGCTCTCCCTCTTGCCTTCCTGGCATGTGTCTGACCATTTCCCTGGCACTGGAAAATCTTAAAACTTGTGTGTGTGTGTGTATACCCAGGCAAACCATCCCACTGCTGTCAAGCTTTGCTTGGTGTTGTATTCACATGTGCTGTGGTTTAGACTTGTTTCCATCATGGCTTTGTGAAAGTTCTTCACAAAACAAGTGCAACAGAGCTTCCTGGGAGTGCTTGGAAATTCAGCCAGAGGATGGATGGCAAATGAATGACAACACATGTTCATGTGCAGTTTAGTTTTGGAAAAACAGATACACAACTGGATAGCAAGACATTCAGTCAAGGCAGGCCTTGTCTTTTGAGTTTCTTTCTCAAGGAAAAAAACAACGATATGGTTTGAGAAAACAGCTCTGTGCAGTTCTGTACAGCTGTTCCCCACTTCAGTATTGACCTCAGCAGTCCAGGCAAGGAAAAACTCATGGTAGGAGATTCTCTAAGTCAGGCTCTCACGGGGAAAGGTCTTGGTGACAGTGAACAACAGGGATATGCACTTTGTGTGTCCAAGGTGTTATCCAGACCTCAAAATAGCATCTCAGCATCTGTGAATAAAAGAGGAATAGGTGAGAAAGTTCAGGTGTCTGCTGGTTGGTCTCAGCACTGCAGGCTGTGATGGGGCAGGAGAATACAGCATCCTTTTGTCTGCCCACTTTATCCTAGGAAAAGTACTGTTTGCTAAGTAATCCTGTCTAGTGGGAAAGCCTGTGTAAAGTGTTTCCCAGCCAGGAAATCTATCTAGCACCTGTGCTATTTCTGCACACTCTCCTCAGTCACCCAGGAATATGGGCTGGGTGGATGTGTCTGGTTCAACTCCCTGTGGACAGGAGCTGGCCCTGGATGCATGAAAGGATAACCTGGCCTCACCCCAGCTGGCTCTGCAGAGGAGAGCCTTGTACACATATGGAGACATGGCAGAGCTGGTCTAAAAGGGATTCTACAGCTAGAAATGACCAAGAATCCCCTGCATTCCTGGGCACCCCAAATAAATTGAACACGTACCTGTTGCAGGTTTTTTTCCCTCTGGAAGTGACAGCTGTCCAGGCTGGGGTGATCCCTCTTCTCACACACGGTGCGTTTGATTTCCACGTGAAGCATGTACTTCAGCCCTCTGACTATCTAGAGAAAGCAGTTTCCTCCTTTAAAGTGAGGGCAGGGAAAAGAGATGCCCAAACTTTGGCTAGGAATCAAGTGCTACAGCTGAGAACTGTGTGTCACCTACACAGAGTCCCTCCTGTGTAGCATTGCTACAGGGGACAGCTTTAGCAGCCCTGAGGAAGATCAGGGATTTTGTGTCTCGGATATGCCATAGGAAGGTCAGTTAGAAGATGATTTGGAGAACCACCAGGAGCCTGCTGCTCTTACCTGTACCATGGCTTTCTTTATCTGTGATTCCTTAAAGAGGAAGAGGTCATTGGAGCTGTTGTTGTATCTGTAGACCCCAAAGCGAGCTGCCTTGCGGACCTCGGGGTTGTTGGTGCTCACTGGGACTGGGAAGCCAGGTCTTATGGTTGAGTGGGGTGGTGTAACATGTGTACCTGAAACAACACAAAACACCAGGGTAAAACACATCAGGGGTGGGAGCTTCAGCCCTCTGAACCAATGCTAAACCTTTTACTTGTCCAATGCATTTGTACTTGAGAAGGTCTCTGCTCGCATCTGTTGCAAAGTAGTTTTTGTTTACATGCCTGAAATGGTGAAACAGTCCTAGGAAACAAAGTGACGTAAGGAGATGCTGCCAGAAATGAAAGCAGAGCTCAAAATTATTTAGAAGAAGCCAGAGTATCACAAATATTATTTCAATGTCTCTGTTATAACTCCTGGTTTATGAAAGGACCAGCTTTGAAACTGCTTATAAAGAGAGGTCATGTTGCTCAGAGAGCAGTATAGTTTTGATAACATATCAAACACTGGCTCGAGAGTCCTGCTGCTCTTAATTTGCATATCTTATCTTACAGATACAAGTTTTTATCCCACACCACACCCTTAAGCCTTTGATGGCATCTTGAGGTTTTTATGTTAGAAGGATTCAGATGTTAGGAAGAAATTCTTCACTGAAAGGGTGATGAGACACTGGCACATGTTTAATCCCTGGAAGTTTTCAAGTCCAGGCTAGGTGGGGCTTTGAGCAACCTAGTCCAGTGGAAGCTGTCTCTGTCTGTGGCAGGGCAGTTGGAAGTAGATGGTCTGTAAAGTCCCCTCCAACCCAAACAATTCTGTGATTACCAAGGTCATGGAGTGGAGAAGCAAGGTGTGCAGGAAATGGAAACTGGGGAGTGTGGGGGGTTAACCCATGACCTTTCATATTACAGCAGTTCATAGAACCATTTACCGTATATTTTTACTTGATTGTGTAGCTCTTTCCCCATGCACTACTTATTTTTGAATAATTTAAAGCTCAGAGCTTACGGTTGATGTCATTATTTCACCCCCTTTTACATTTCCCTTCATCTCCATTTTCCCGATTCTGAAATCAAAGAAAAGGAAAGAATCCCCAGCCCTGCAGAAGGTGCCATCCAGCCACTGCTAATGCCAAGGGCTGCCGGTGCAGGAGGTGACCCTGTGTGCGTGCAGGCACTGAGCATGGGTGTGCTTGTGCACTCAGATTTACACACAGAGGTTGTACGAAATCTGCTGTGAAAGTCAAGCTTTTTATCACCTCTAGCTTTTTTTCACAGAGAGCTCTCTCACCCCCAGCCAGCTGCACAGAGCATAGGCTGTGTACTGAACCCAGTCTGCAGGGGCAGCTTGATGATCCAAATTCTACTAAAAAAAAACCCAAACCAAACCAGAATTACGTGCCGTCATCAGCATAGAAGGTGACAAAAATTTATCTCACATGTTGATTATGCACATCCTACTTGTACTGTCACATCCTTCTCACAGGTGTTAATTGCTGCACCCACTTGTAGCAGTGCTCAGGGATTTACATACACCTCGACCTGCAAAAGAGAGACTCAGTTCCACATCCCTCCTCAACCCAAGGATGTCCAAATCCATCTCTCTTCCTGGCTGATACCCCAGCTACCTTAAAGACCCCTGTATTTTCTTGCAGGTGGGAGCTGAGAGACCAGGCCATGTGTTGGACAGGAGTGATGTTTAGCAGGTGGCTTTCTGTCTGCTGTGGAGGTGATCAGCTCCCCTGTGCCATAACTCTGATCTGTGTTGGCACTATGGGTGTGCAGCCAGTGCTGGGCAAGTGTTGTGGTGTTTTTTCAGCCAACAGCCCAGAATCCACTTGTAGATCCCAAGACTATTCTCTGTGGGATGGTGTTTTCCCACTGCAGCGAGGGTGGGATTTGAAAGTCACAAAAGCTTGTGACCATTCAGCCTTGGACCAAAGGTATTTCGCAGGCCAGCGCATCTTACCCAGTGCTCAGCTCATGGGTAAAACTTTTCACAGGGGTTTAAGGCACTGGCATCCACAGGTGACTGAGGAGGGCCATGCAGGACCTGTCTGCAGGCAGAAATGAAGCTCCAGGCAGAGCAGGTTTGCCCACAATGCCAGCTGTCCTCTTCCTCAGAAATGCCATGCTTTTTCCTGTGCCATCAATACCAACCCAACAGCCATAGGAACCAGCTTTTTCCTGAGCTCACCTAGCAGCTGGGACATTCTGCCAGGCTGAGAGCTGGTTGCTGTCTTGGGCTCTTCTTGCTGCTCCCCAGCACCTTGCTTGAATATCTGCTTTCACACCTGTTGGAAAGGCAGGTGTTGCAGTGGTGGGGTTGTTGACATCAGATACTGCTCTTTGTAGAAGGGGGTGGTAACCACAGCCTCTTTTAATCTTAACACAATGTCCTTTTGTGGCTTTTGAGAACCCTCAACACCTCTTGAGTCATGGTGACGTCTTTTGTAGGCGTGGGGTGAATGAGGCTGGCTGAAATCATGCTCTGTGGATGGGAAGAAAACTAATACGTGTATTATTCAAACCAAGAGTCAGAGTCCAAGAGCCCTTGTTCCTGACTCCAGTGACTGGGAGATCCAGCAGTGTCACACATGGCCAGGCCTCTGAAATGCATCACCTGGAGAGGTGAGCAAGCTGGACAGGTGTTGTGGACAGGCAGACTCAATATACCATGTGTTGTAAGCAGGGGATAGGTTATAGGTTGTATTTTCCCCCAGCTTTCACCAAGGGGTGCTGGGCATTTTACCTTGTTCACCTGTTGCAGCTGTTGAAAGTGAGTCATGCCAGAGCAAATTTGGTATAAAATCTACTGAGCCCTCGTGGGAGCTCTTTATCCCACCATTTTCCTCTGGGGACTCAGATTCCTAAAGGCTAGGATTTGGTTTTCTTTGTGTGCTTTCATTCCCGTTCAAGGTGGTCACTGCATGGCAAACACACAGGTCTGAAATCACTTTTAGTGTTTGGAATTGCTTGCAGTACTCTATTTCCAAACCCCAGGGACTCTTCTGGTGTGAGGTACCTGTAATTCTGATTTTCTCTCTGAAGCCTTTTCTGACCATTTCATCCCTGGCTTGAGTGCCATTTCCTAAAAATTAGAATTTGTGTAAGGTGATGGCCCCATTCCAGGCACAAGGCAGACTTGGGTCAGAGGTCAAATAGCACTGCAGGGCTCTAGGCACACCAGCATTCCTGAAACATCCAGGCTGTGTGGGAGCAGAGGCACAGCACAACTTGGCCAGGCACCTACAATACCCGGAGGCCACGAGTGTGTGGCCTCTCAAGATCTCAGATCTCACAATCTGGGCAGACAACTCTTGCTGCTCTAGTGAGAGATGCTTAGGACCAGAGCAATCATATTCAGAGCCCATCCTTGCTCCTGGATTTGGAAATGGGAAGAGAGAGATGGAAAAGTCAGTCCTCCTCCTGCTCCTTCTATTGGGCAATAGTAGAGTTAGACCCTTTTCTTGCTCAAAATTAACTGGCAACCATCTGTTATTAAGCAAACAAGGGCTGTTTTTGCAGATATGAGTTGAATGTTGTGTTAAGAGGCTCTCTCTTGTGCTTTCCTCCTTGAGGATTGCTTTGGGGACCTTGTTCCTGCAGTATGAGAGAGTAATCCTGTGGCTGCTCCCTCTGAGGCTGCAGTGAAACAAATAAGCAGATTGCAACGTGTTGATTTTTTTTTCCCACCAGATGCTTAGAAAACCTCCTCCCCATTTCTGCCTCCTTTAAAAACTTCCTCCCCCTAGCAAGGCTAGGGCTTTATCTTTACATTTAAGATGTGGCAGAGTTCCTGCATGCCTCTGCAGCCCCCAAAGGAAACCACAGCAGAAACAAAAAGCTACTGGCTAACAAACAACATCCCCGAGTTCTTTCTGTATATGTGAACCAAAGTAATGCTGAAATATATTCAGTAGTACTGGAGCAAAACCTTCAGAGAAAAACACTCATGTCTGCAGCTCCCATTCTAAAGATTTAAGGCCAGCTGCAATCAAGAGAGTTCCCTTGCTCAGCAAAGAAAGAAATGAAACAGGTTAATGCTTCATTAAAAGTCAGCTAATCTGCACTCAAGTGTCCATCTGTACTTAGCAGTCAGATTGTTACCCGCAGCCTTTAGATTTAATAATCAAGGTCATGCAGAGTTTAAACACTGACAAATGAGTTAAAACCATAAATTGACTTTAAAACCCCTAAATGATACCCCTGGATGGCATGGTTCACTACACAAGGAGAAAGTCTTCTGAGCAGTTGGGTTTTCAGCTGCAGCCTGAGCCCTGCAGGGCTGAGCCAGCACGGGCAGCAGCGGGAGAAAGGCTGTTCTTTACCAGAGCCCTACGTAGCAGCACTCACAGAACGTAAACCACAAGGAAAACAGCAATTATTTTCCATTCTTACCGCCTGAAGTCCTGGTGAAGCTCCAGAGTGCCAAACAGCAAAGTGCAGCGAAGCTGCAGGCGAAGTTCGCTGCCATCTCCGCCACTCCAGAAGAGGAGCCCGACAGCCACAGGAGTAACTGCCCTGCTTCCTGCCGGAGAACTGCTTCTGTGAGCGCTCTCATTGGCTGGTGGGGGAGCAAAAAAACACCCCAAAACCCCCTGAATCATCACAGCTCTGATGCAGACTTTGCTTCCTGCTGATGACCACATACCTCGAAGTCCAGCCACAAAGCTGCGGCTTGGTGACAGCAGCACCAGCCTTGCACAAGGCAGGGACTTTTGCTTTGCGATCCTCGAGGGCAGAAGCGCAGACAGATACGTGTGACACAGCACTGGAAAGGGCTGTGGGGGTGTGCAGAGTTACAGTCATGTGCTTTAAGGATCATGGGGAAACTTCACACCTAAGAAACAGGCAGTGAGCCCTGGGGCCATGGCTCTTGGCTTGCGCTTGTGCATCCGTGTGCGGACACCTGACAGAGATGATGGGTCCAGGGTCTTGCCTCCCCTGATGAGGAGATGTAGGTTTTGGGTGAGGGAGACAGGGAAGTTTTAGGGGTACTGACCCAAGGGGGCTATGTGGAACAAAACCAGTAGGGAAAACATTTTGGGTTTGGTGGTAGAGCATCACAACCTCCATTTATAAAAGGTGTTATGACAACAGGAAAGGGTGGCATTAGAGGGGATGAGTTTCTCCTAGGTGATATCTAGAAAGAAGAGAAACAGGGGGACAGGGGTATTTTGTCTCTCTGTGGCTTGCAGAGCTTTTCAGCTCTGTGGTTGAATTATCCAGTGCCAGTCCTTGGTTTCCAGAAGATCCTCTCTAGGCAGTGCTGGCCCACGCTGAGAAGCTTGAAAGACCAGGGAAAGGGCTTGGTTGCCAGACTTGGTGGTGCAGCTGAAACAACCAGCTGACAGGTTCAGGAGACTGGGAGGTGAAGTGTTGTCTCACTGAAGGGCTGAGAGGGGTGGACCTCACTGTGTGTGTGTGCATATGTTGTTTCAGGTGAGCAGGAAGGTGATGGCTGCCTTTCACTTGACCCAGCAATGCCCCTTTTTGAGCAGAGGCATCTTATGGCCTCAGGTAAAGTCCTAATGCAGGGCACTGCAGGTAGTGTATAAAGGGCTGGAGGAAAATATTCTTAATATTTTGTTGTAGGAAGGGATTAGATAAATCCTCTTTTCAAATGTCCCACAGAGAAAGAGTGGGGCAAGCATGGTGTGTCATGCTGATCATCAGTCCTTGCATAGGCTGCTGAATCAGACTCCTAAGCCCATGGAAAACACTGACACAGAATGAGCAGGACTATATTGAGGGGATTTTAATTACTCTCCCTCCTTTTATCTTTTTTGAGCTCTGGTGGCAGCCTGACCCACGACTGTGACACAGGCAAGGACTCCATCAGGTGTCTTCAGCTCCCCGCTTTCTCCTGAAGAGCTGTTCTCTACATTTGCTACCTCACTGACAGGTTCTGGTGAGTATTTTTCTCAGCCTATAGTCAGGTGCTTTAACCTCCAAGAAGGAGGTGGTTGGGACCCTGTAAGGCTCCAAAACTTGCTTGATGAGACTCTTAAAAAGGGCTTTTGTGTTTTCATTTACTCTAAGGTAGAGACATGGGAACAACAGTATCAGGATGTTCTCAAGGGGTCAAACAACTAAAAACCCCTTTACTGGCAACTTTCGAAAACAAACGAGTTTTGGCAAAATGTTTAGAGTACCCTATATCAGCCTTCAAGTACCTAAAGGGAGCCTAAAAGAGAGCTGGGAGAGGGATTTTTGATACAGTGACAGATCCACAGGAAATGGCTTTAAACTGACTGAAGGCAGTTTTAGATGAGATATTGGGAAGAAATTCTTTACTCTGAGGGTGGTGAGGCATTGTCACATGTTGCCCAGGGGCATTGTGAATGCACCATCCCTGGAAGTGCTCAAGGCCAGGTTGGATGGGGCTTTAGGCAACCTGTCCTGGTAGAATGTGTCCCTGCCTGTGGCAGGGGGGTTAGAACTGGGTGACCTTTAAAGACCTTTTCATCCCAAACCATTCTATGATTCTATCATAAACCCAGACAGCAATTTCAAAAAAGCAGCATTTGTCTTCAAGTGACACATTTTTTCCTGTCTTCTCCCCTTGCCCCTTCTTTCCATAAAAATTGATCAATTACAGCTCTTCCATATCAACTTTTTCTAGTGCTGCTTTTATGATTTTGTTGAGGAAGTTTCTCTAGCTCTTTACTCCTAGGAAGTAACAGAGTGCTCACTAATGAGCAGTAGTATTAATAGTGCTAAGTGATACTGTGTAAAAAACCATAAAGAACATGACACCAAAAATCCCACCAAACCCCTTCCCCCACTCCCCAATAAGAGCCAAACAGTATCAAACTCCTCTAAGGCCACAATGTACACATACCTGGTATTTTTCCTTTGGGAAGTTTTGTGCTGTGGAATAAACCAGTGGCTGGAGCCTGTGACGGCTGTCCCTTTGCAAAGTCTCATTCCAAGCAGGTGTCACCCCCTGGGATACTGCTCTGTGCTCCAAATCCTTCTGCAGAAGTGAAGCAGCGTGATGTTTTGTCTGACATCCAGCCCCAGAAACCCCCAGATACTCTTACCATTGAAGCTCCCCAAGGGTCACTGGTAGGAATTTCATCCCCTTTCCCTGGAAAGCATGTCTAGATCTCCTCTACACCAGCCCAGGGCATGTGGGGCACTTTGTGGAGTAGATTTCACTCGCTGAATTTCCCAGTGTGTGAGCAGGCATCCTGAGCAGGGAGAGGATGAGCCTAAGTGGGCACAGAAACACTCACAGATTATCCCAGGGTAAACAGAGCGTTTGCTTTAAGCAAACAGCCAGCCCTGACCCAGTCTACATCAAACTTGTGATCTTGCTGCATTAAGAAGGATTATATAGATCTTGAAAGACTTGCACACATGAAGAAGCCTCGTGTTTGTTTTTTTTTTTTTTTTTTCTGGTGTGAGTAGGGGATGTTTATTGCAAGCCTTGGGATACCAAGGCTGCTCTGTTTTCTGCAAGGGAATTTGCAGGGTTGTTACGTTCTCTCTCTCACAGTTGGCCCGAGTTACAAGAGGCTTTGGCAACAGTGCAACTCTGGGGACTCTTTAGATTAAAATAAAAGAAAACCAACCAAACTTCTATTATGCATAAATCAAGGATGTAATTTTATCCTCCTTTGGAATGAAGAAGTAGAAAAGCCACCGTACCTGATATTTGATTTTAATTTGGAACATGATGTGGACTTCCTCATCATCACTTTTTGCTTCAGTTATTTAGAGCCAGACATTTGTCCCTGCAGCACAACCCACAGCTGCTACCATGCTTCCTGGAGCAATGCCAGCAGGATCTGCAAGGGATCCTCTTGCAATTATGCTCCTGTAAATGCAATCAGCATCTAGCCCTGCACCCACAATATTTCATTTTCAGTTCTGACTCCCTTTTTGTACTTTGTGGATCAGTGGGGACTGTAAGAAAAACTAATCTCATTAACTTTTGCAGGGAGTTGGAAGATGACTGGAGTGTGTTTGAGTTGTGCATTCCAAGGCTTTAATTAAGATGTGTTTACCACTGTCAATAATTACGGTTTTTTCTCCTTTAAGTCTTTTTAACATTTTCTGGGCTTTCATCAGATCTCTAGGGCAGCTAATTTCATTGGTGTTGCTGCAGTGAAGGGTTTGAGCAAGATACTCCATGTTGGAGAGCTGCACTTTGTAAAGGCAAAATATGCTGAGGTCCAGAGAAAGGATAGTTCAAGGAAGAGGCACCAGGATAAAGAATTCAGTTGAGGACTCAGCTGCTCCTCTACCTTCCTACAGCAGGAACACCTCGCCAGCTTTTGAAAGTGGAAAACCACCCTGACAAGCCACAGATACTTGACACCCTCCTGAGCAGGGATGTGGCTGAGCAAGTTTGGTGAGGCACAAGGGGAAGGAGCATTGGGTCAGTGCTGGTGTCCACACGTGGGAATATGTGTCCATGTTTGCAGTAACAAGAGGATCCATGGGAGAAATTGGTGGGTTGACCTCCAAGCAGAGAATTTGTCTACTTGCCTTTCCTGCCAGGTGCTCTGTAGCTGACCCACACTCCCCTGTGCCTCCACTGCATAAAGAACTGGGATTTTCAAGGGGATTGAGACTCATGCAGTTGCATCTGCTTTTTTTGTTTTCTTACCTGCAATAACTTCTGAATTTCTGTCCAATATTAAAGCAGTCTGGGAGGCTTGAGGATCATCTGGTTACCATACATTTCTAGAGGAGAGATGTGAAGAAGAAATAACTTGGCTGGGGCAGGGGTAGGGGACACAACAGTGCCATTATTTAGTTTATCTGCCAGCAGCACTGTCAGCTGCTGTGAGAGATGGCCTATGGATTGCACTGCAGGGGGCTGTGATATATGTGAAGACCCCTCCATGTTTTACCTTGTGGCTGTTTGATTAATTTTGACATGAACAAACCTCCCATCCCTTCCCTCTCCAAATGAAGAGCCCAAATGCCTGGAAGCATTGGCTCAGTCAGCCAGCTGGCTGGGGTACTTTTTTGGACTCAGCCTGGTTAAATGGGTCTTATCACATCAGAAAGGGACCCTTAAGGGAGCTGCAGGGGTTAGAACTGCTAAAAAGCCATCCAGGTGGCCAAAGTAGGGGTGGCAGTGAGAGGCTGCCTCGGGATGGCAGCTGTCAAGGATCAGATGAACGCTGGGTTTTGGATATTCAGGATCAGTCCTCGCACGAGCCATGAAAAAGCAAGTGCAAGACACAGTGAGGCACTGGCACAGCAATGCAGGCCTGTGTCTGCAATGCAGTGTGTGCTGCAGGTCTCCCAGTGTGAGGGGAGAAAAACCTGTGCTCTCTAGCTGTGATTGAAAATCCCTCCCACAGCTCAGAGGAGCTCCTGTGCCTGGCAGGTGCCCAGCTACTCAGCGCTGGTGAAACTTGGATCTGACAGCCCCAGTCTGCTTCTGCTGTGCTGTGCTGTGCTCCCTCTCACCAGCACTGCCAGCTCTTCCCTGGTTCTTCACTCCACGAGGAGCAACCACCAGCAGATCCAAAGGAGGGCTGAGATGTGCCACACAGGTGG